TCTAAATTATTTCCTTTTTAAATTTTAAAAATATTTTAATTTCTCTTTTATTTTATCCTCCTACCATGAAATCAGTTCAGTGGTTCAGATCTGTGCGTATTAATATTTTGGTTGTCGTCGTTGCTTCACTACGACGCGGATAAAGGCTCACCTGTTGATTCTCCATCATCCCAGAATAACTCCCCCGCTGCTTCGTTATTGTCGTCCAGTGCGATGATAAGTCCCATCGGATTCTTACGGCTGTGGAAAAAACCACCAGCACGACTTTAGGTGTGTAATAAGTATCTAGGCAGTCTGTAACGTTCACATTAAGAGTATTGTGTTCAACAGGGTCTCAAAACGTTGATAATCGTCTTGCATTAGTCCCTGGCTGTCCACGGTTTTCGTGTTCAATGATTTGTGAGATTAGAAAATATTACACCAAAAAACCCCTCTGGTTAAATCATTAAAAATCATTGTCATCAGCCATGGCAGTGAGTGGTGACTGACAGTTATTCCCAAATTTCAAAGTGCGAATGCTAAATATTACCAAATTACAATACTACTACAAATACTCCTACAAATTACGTAATATTGTGGTGTAATGTTCTAATGCTACTAATAATACTGATAATAAACAGGTTTTGTTGCTGCTGTTGTTGTAGTAATAGTAATAGTGATAATGCTACTTTTTTTTCTGCAACCAGGTAGCCTTGAGTCCGTTCTCGAAATGACGTTTCATACCAATTTAGTGAAGAACACGTTCAGCCGGGAGATTTACCTCGCCACTGTCGTGGTGGCCGGCTGCTGGAAAGGGAAGACGTAGCCTCCTCTCAAGTGAAGCCCCATTTTGTCTGCAGGAAGGTACATCTGCGTCCACTGTTTTCTCAGCCAGATTTTTGCACCCTAGTTAACAGGGATGAAAAAGGAGGAGTAGGTTGCGTTACTCGCTGCTGCCTTAAATGCTGAGTTTTATCTTAATTCTTCCTTTTTCCTTAATTCTTCTTTTTGGTCAAAGGTTTCAGTTCTGTGAACGTCTGTATCGCTGCCGATGGTCACAGAAGTCAAACCACCGTAGACCGGAATGCTATACAATGCTGTCTATAAATCAGTAATTCTCATTATTTAATTTCAGTTTATTATATCAGATTATTTATTTAATAATCAACCCAGCGAGAGCAAGCCCCGCTGGGATGTCTGAAGTGAACTGTGTCCCTTTTCCACCAAGTAAAACCACTGCCGCAGCAGTGGGAAATTTATTCCCAGGAATGAGATTATCAAGAGTTAGTGGCAAACCCCTTCGTGCATTATTAGTAATTTTATATTTCACGTATATATAAATATACACACACACACGCCCTTTGCTTAAGGTTTCTTTTAGTCTTGTCTTCCTAAATCCTGAACTCAACGCGCAGCTACATGACCTTCTCACTTGGACATTTAGAAACCCCCACCCAGTTATCCCACTTACTTACCGAATCATAGTCGTACCAGACGGCGTCAGGGACATATGCCTGGACGATGTCCACCCCCTGGAAGGGGAACACAGAAATTACTTTCACGTTCAAACCCACGTTAATCGAACGTGGTGGGTTGACCTTGGGTGGTGGCCAGGTGCCCACCCAGCCGCTCTGTCACTCCCCCTCCTCAGCTGGCCGCGGGGGAGAAAAAGCGACAAGAACAAGCCAAACTTTCCAAAAATCGTAAGAAAGTTGACAATGAGAAAACTATCGATCTTTCCCCTCAGTTTATGGTTTTCTTTCGCAGTTTTCTGTGATGGTGCACAAAAAGGAAGATAATAATCCAGGTATAATTTCAGCAAAGCCCTAAGACAGAAACTCACAGTAACCCAGAATTACAATGCTGCAAGCACACCGTCTTAGAGGGTATTCACAAGCATCGTTAAATCGTCTTAATTTTCCTTTTTCCACTTCTTCCAGATTTTTGCAACATTTAACAAATGCTTTGTTCTTCTAAAGAGTGCATGCGGCACAAGAATTATGTACAAGATTTAGCAACAGGAAAAGCAACGATCTGTATTTCTTGTCTCGACGAATCACAGGTAAAGTTAAATCAAGTGAGAAATAAGAAGCTGACTCTGAACGAAATGCGGAGGTGATGCGAGGAGGAGGTGAAGCAGAATTTTGCAACAGAAGAATCAGATTCCCAGAGGATGGGAAAACAGAAGTAATAGAGCAATATAAAAATAATGGCACAAAAAGGCAAGATTTTCTATTTAGACAGTGATAGAATTATGTTGTGGGCTCTCTCACTGAGAGCAGCAAATGAAGAAAAACAAAACAACAAAAAAGCCTGGGTTTATAAGGAGCCCAAAGACAAGCATATAATTCATAAGCTAAAAATGTACATTTAAAGAGAAAATGGATTCTAAGGAGGAAATTAAACTAGAGAAGATGGTATTTAATATGCATGAAAGAAGGATATAATCAAAGTTGATATTAAGACACGTGTTTCCTCTGGAGATATATTAAAGGTAACCAACAAGGGGCTCTTGGAGAATACTCTTTCCAGTTCTCGCCAAGACAATTCAGGCTAAAATGGACCACATCGAATTTATTAGGTTCATCAGGGAAATGGAAGAGCCCTTTTTTTTTTCTTTCTTTTTTCTTTTTCCCAGCTTAAAAAATGGAGAAGGAGCATGATTTCAGGGGAAATACCTATGCCCTAAATAGGGGAGCTCCAACTTTTAAGCTGAGTAACAATGTCATCCCAAGACTAAGATAGAAAACCCAAAGGCACTTTCAAATCGAGGGATACAAGAATGAGGGGAATAGAGGTCGAGAGATTTAACTTGTTGCGGCTCTTTACAGGATTCATTACAAGGCATTAAGCAAGCGAGACCTACCGGATCGAGCACGGGGGTAATGAGGAGCCCAGGACCCCACAAGAACTGCTTATCCACGCTCCACGTCGCTTCATCAGAATAAAACCTGAAACAAATAGGAAAGCAGCGGCATTAATTGCCCTTACTAACTAACGACATATTAATTAGTATTGTCATGATCAATCCTAATGTTTGAAGGTTTTGGTTGTCTAGAATCACTGTTGAAAAGTGTCATATGGTGAAGTCCCAAGACTATTTTTGGTGGAGGCAGTCTGAAACTAGGAAAGTAAATTCACAGCTTATTAATTTTGTACGTATTAATTATGCATACGCACAATGAGCGTGTGAGGGCGTCTGGTCTTAATATTCAAGAGTTTCAAGAAAATAAAAGAAAATGAAGGTGAGAAAACAAAAATTTTTAAATATATATCCCAATGGGGAATAATTTCATCAGCTGCCAATGGCATTTCATAACCAACAATAATACCGCTGCGCGTGCGAACGTTACAGATGGGGTTTGATGACTCTCCCCATTGCTCCAAAATGGCGTTCCGTGGGCGTAGGCGTCTGTACGTACGATGACAGGCAGCATCCTTCACAAACTATGGATGGGTTTAGCAAATCCCCTACAGTGCCTGACCTGCCTGAATGATTTAGTTCTAGTATTGTGACGAAGGTCAACTTACTCGTGGAGAACTGGCCGTGCCACTGTGTCTCCTTGAGTATGAGCTTTGTAAAAGAGTGTATACAGGTAGGGCAGCAACGTGTAGCGGATATTCAAGTAGTGCTTTGAGGATTTCACCAAAACGGAGTCAGCTCCGAATGCGGCTGGATCCTGGGGCTGAAAACAAACCATATATTTTAATATATTTAAATATATTTTGAATGTTTCAATATTAAATTAAATAAAAATTAAATACTTGAAATATTATTATTGCTGTTGCACAGGGCATTGAAGATACGACTGAGGGATGCAGACAAAAATCAGGGTGTGGATCAGATAGCAGCAAGCGTTTGCTCCTTTTTGTAGACACCACCAACGGGGACCAAATTTGATGTCAGATGGTGATTTCAGAAAACGAAATTATGCCAAATGCATTCTCTGGTGCCTACAATTAACCCCTACAAAGCTACATCTTTCGGAGAGAGGATTTCCCAAAGTGTAAAGTTGTACCAATTTCAAACCAGTCAACAATTTAATGATCAGTGACAGAAATTTCATTATCAGAGTTTAATTTAACTATCAGAATAGAAATGCAATGGTGTACCGTAAAAGAAGTTTTCGGAGCAGGATGTACCACTTACTGTGCATTTTTTAGTATTGTGATTCCTGGAAAACGGGTAAAACGCTCCCACTTGCATCCACCGTCTGCAAAGTTCTTCCGTGACGTTTTCATAGAAACCACAAATGTCTGCTCCGACCTTAAAACGCAGACAGAATGCGTTGTTGGTACGGCGCACTGCGCCTCCGATCTCTACCGGAAAACCTCCAAGGGCTGAGTTGCAGAGATTTTTTTTTCCAATTCATCCCTAATTGCTAGGCAGGGTAATAGAGTCATTCAGGACATTTCCACACGGTTTTCCAAATCTCTCATCCGTACCTAAATTTGCCCATTTTATTTTCCTCTGGTTGAACCCCAGATTTTCTGAAGTTTGTGAGATTTTTTTGTGGCAGAACTAGCCAGATAAATGCCGAATTTTTTTCTGCATCCAAGTTCTGCAATTAATTTCACAGCCCACCATCTACACACAGGGAGTTAGAATAATTCAAATATAGGTAGTACAGAAAATTAAACTGACTAAAGGTTGATGCTGCTCATTGATCTCTTTCTCCCAGAGATTTACATTCCTGTTTGGTGCTAATATGCATTACCCAGCAAAGTAGTCCAAAAGTCACAGAAATCCAAATCCTTAAAAGAAAAGCGGGCGGGTCATGAAGAAGCGCGTGTTCCTATTGCATTTAAAGACCCTCACATTGATCATGACAATTAATTAATGACAAATAGTAGAGGCATCGGGGGGCTGGAAACGTATAAAATAACTTATTGATAACCATATACCCGCATAGTCAATAAGCCTTAGAGGAAAATGGCCTAAAGCTAAGATCAGTTATTTCTCAGGAAAAAAAGTGTTTAAAACAGACTCCTAAAGGGATTATTTTATAGGGGGGTTAAAATTTATTATAGGCAATTAATTTATTACAGTATATGATTAATTTACTCTTTTGTATTTGACTTTATGTTAATTAATGCAATTTATATGTTTGGTTGGGGGGGTATTCAGATGGGCTTATATATCTCAGGCTTGATCGGGCATCGCGGATACACGTTTGCTTTGCAAAGGTGCCATAAATGACCGTTTTCGTACATAAGGGATTCCAAAGAGGCCGAATTCCAGCATTCCCGGTATCGCCCACTTTATGTGGTCCCACGTTGCTGCGTTATCGCCCAGCCAGTGTCCGGCGTACTTTCCCGATCCCGCAAAAGTAGACCTCGAAAGAAGGAAGCTTCGTTTTCCAGGAAACAAAGTTTCAATGGCTCTGAAAGTAAAAAAAGGTTGGAGTTAGGCAAAAAAACCTTTAAAAAGTGGTGGAGATGAGTAGATTTGTAATATGGAAAGTTTCTATTCATATTCATTTATTCATTCACGATGATAAATAAGCTAAGGACACACTTAAACCTTAAGTTTAACCAGGTGTCTATCAACTAAATTAATAATAGATATATTCATCTTAAGGAATCTTTCTGTAAGTTTTTGCCTGCCAACCTTCATCACATTTGAACTCCAAATACTCCAAAGCTCAGGTTTCCTTTCAGCTTCCTCTACTCATAGCAGCATCGCAGAAACCCAACCCTCGGACTTCATATTCGGATTCAGAATTCCATTCCAATTTAAAAAAAAGGGCTTTTGAATGCCCAGATTCAGCCCGTTGTGGGAAGACGGATACTGATCCCCAGATCAGGTTCCCCGGGGAAGGAAGTTGCTCCGTTTCTCTAAAGAGAGGCCGTGTGCTCCACTCCGCCCTTTTCCGCAAAGGCATTGAGAAGGTTTCCTCACCGTTGTGTTGAGAGGGTCATAGAGTATCCAAAGAGGTTGTGAACATCATAGTGTCGCCCCCACTTCTGCACTGCGTCCATACAGAGAGTCTTGGAATACAAGAGCCGATCGACAACGTCTGCGAGAAAAACGTCCAGAAGTGCGCTTAAATTCATTTAATTGGATTATTTTTTTAAAAATTAGATTTAATCAATTAAGAGAAAAGACAGTATTTTTATTCTTTTCCTTCATGCACATTCATGAAATTTTGGCCCTTTCCTCAGTTTGGCATTTGCATTAACCCCCGTGCTCTGAGGCCGACGTGGTGAGTGCTCACCCGTGTCGTACGATGTTACTACGGGTTTCCAGGTTTATTCTTCTTTGCTTTAACAAAGAATATTTCTGTCTTTGTGATTCCTGTATCTCGCAGCACTCAGTGTAGAAATAGCAAAGTAATTCCCTGGCTGCTGCTCAGATGTGTGCAGATGCATCTTTGCTAACGGGGTGGGGTTTAGTAACTACTTTAAATTTTAAATTTAATAAGCTTAAATGCAGCTTCAGGATGGATTTCGCCTGCAAGAAAGGACTGATCCAAAAACTACACCCCAAATTTCTGAACTATTTGATCTGACCATGCACCAGCAATGATCAAATTTCTGACCTGATAAAGAATTTAAATCTTTTAGCTGGTAGGGTAGCAATTCACAAACATTTTGATTTTTTTTCTCCACAGCTAAAGACAATGGACTTACGGGGTGTGAAAGGAGGATAGTTTAATTCATTCTGCTCACAGCCATTACTTGAGCCTTGAACAAAGTTGGCGACTTCATTCATATCCTGAAAAATTGCAAATTCAAACCACGGCTATAAAGTTTATTCGTAACAGCAATGCTACCTTGGCTTTCAGCCAAATGTACAGGTACAAATCCACCTGCAGCAACTATAACTTGAGGGCACCAGAAACATATACAGAATAATATTCATAAGCTGCTGAACTCATCCAGCAACCAGGACACTGATTTTCAAAATAATCAAAGAAAAAAAGTAATATCTTTCTGAATGACAAAAAGATGATTTTAAGTGGAGATGGTGGTACTCCATCCGAACTGGAGAAATTAAGTATTATAATTCTTCCCCAATCCTGCATTATAAACAAAGGTTATTTGTTCTGGCCTGAGAAAAATTGCTTTACCAAGTTAAAACTCAAAATCCTACAAAGTACGTTCATCTTTTATCTAGAGGGAAAATAATTTCTCCCAAAAGGTACCGTTTATTAAAAATAAAAGCTAGTGCAGTCATTTTGAACCTGGTCACGGTCAGTTCTTGGGGAAATTACATTAAATACACCTCAGCTGAAAGAAGCATGTACCCAACACGTGGGATAAATGCAATTTCTAACAAATTCCTCCAACACCAGAGAAACAAGGATTCCACCCAAGCGCATTGAATGCTACGGAAAAGGTACAAATCCCACGTGGATTTCAGATTATTCTCAGTAAATCTTTTTATAGAATCACAGAATAGTTTGGGTTGAAGGGACCTTTCAAGGCCGTCTGGTCCAACCCCCCCGCCATGAGCAGGGACATCTTCAACTAGAGCAGGGTGCTCAGAGCCCCGTCCAGCCTGACCAACCTTCCTTTGAATCAGTGCACACTAAAATCTGACTTGCCATTAGCCTATTTCTGCAAAAAGTGAAAATTCCAGGATTTACTTACAATCCAGATCCCGTCATAGGGCACTTGGTTATAAAATATTTTGCATTCCTCCGTCCACCAGCTGGTGCAGTCGGGGTTGGTGAAGTCTGGGAAGACGGTTCTTCCCGGCCACACCTACAATAAAAAAAGAGAAATAACTAAATTACAGTGTTGGTGACCCTTAAAAGGTTAAAATCCTCAGATTTCCTTCAGATTTATGTGAATTGCTCTCTTGGAGAAACATGTGGGTATAAAACCTCCGGATTATTAGTTTTGCAGGACAGCACTGATATAGTGATTGAGAGAAGGTTTTTGAGCTGTAAGTCACAAAAGTGAATTGTCATTATTAATTCATATTAATTATCATTCTTAAATAATATGAATTATCATTATTGTTAACATGAAATATCATTACCAATCAATATGAATTATATTATTCTTAAATTTATACACAGAAAGAAGGCAGAAAGTGGCTTTGTTAACTTCTGAGTTCTAAATTCCAAAGTCACTTTTAAAGTCAAAATTATTGTTAAGTTATGCGAATTTTACAATAAGCATCTGCATTTGTAAACCTATTATAAACAAATTTTCAAAGCAGTAAAGCAGGAATTGCTCTCTGATAACTGTTGAAAATAGACAGATGTTGGCTGCCCATGTTTCCCAAACCTTCCAAATCCCTCATTTTTCCTTTTGAAAAATCAAAATATAAAGAAAATCTATAAAAATACACGAAATGTTTCAAAATATGGACAATAGAAGAAAAACGGAAAATCACCCTGGCCCAAACTAAATGGGATTGGGGCTCTGACTTCGTAAGGGTTTTATTACCTCTCCAACTAACGGTGTTACTCCGTCCGATTCATTAACCCAAACTTTCTTGCTCTGTCCCCTCTCATAGGCTTGGTAGGAAGAACCATCAGCGAGAGCCTCTGTGCTAATAGCAGGATCCTAAAAAAGTGGAAAACCACACAAAAGAAAACCATTCTCTCCGCCCATTATTGGTTCTCTCCGCCGACTGTTGGTTCTCTACATCGATTATGTAGAGCCCAGCAGCTACACAGAAATAAGTCTCATGTAACAACATATATATTAAAAATATGTATATAAAATACATACTGATAATGATAAAATTTAAAATGGAAAAATAAATAGCTACGTGCTTACCAGTATGATAATGTATTTTTGCCCATAGTCATGCATATAAGTTTGAAAACTGGGAAGGTCTTTGAAGTTCACTTTGTCATAAGTAAAATCTTTCCTCCCTTCCATGTAGTCGATATCCGTGTACTGAACATCCTGGGAGAAGACGGGATGACAGACATGATGCGGAAGGGTTCCGACCACGGCGCATCTTCTCAACGTGCTGCATTTTAATTATAAGCTCCCAGAAAAGCAGCTGATGCAATCGGCGGTCAGCTGGATGTGGGTGCCTAAAGTACCTTTTAAGCTGCAATCCACCTCTAGATTGGAATCAAAATTAGCTTCTGCTGCTCTTTAATTTTCCAGGGCTTCCAAGACCCTAAAGTGAATTTCCAAGCTGGGTTTGACCTCGTCACTTCACAGAGTAAGCCAAAGAAATGTGCAGAACATGGAAACAAATATATTGAGCTGGAAACTTTAAACTGAAAAATTGCTTCTGCAAAAAAGGGTGCGAAGGACATTTAAAATCATTCAGCTTTTTATAGAGAAAGCTGTGCAGGCAATGAAAAAGGCCGTAGCTAAAGGGGAAAGAAGGCAGAAAGCGGCTTCGTTAACTCTGCGTTCTAGCCCCAGAAGTGGTTTTTCACTCACGTAAGGGAGTCCGATTGCCCTGTTCCGCTCCACAACAGCCTTCACCGCATCGAGGGAGCCGTAATCGTAGCGGCTGAGGTGAAACCCCAGAGTCCAGTAGGAGGGCAACGCCGGCAACCCTATGAACTGGAAATTAAAAGCAGAAATGACAAGCATCGCCAGCCTCCCCTCTTTGGGTCTCATTCCCTAAATTCTCTGATTCTCTCTCAAATCAGAGAGTCAACTCAAGTACCATGAGGTGCGTTTTACACAATCGCCCACAGCTGCTGTATTGTTCTATGCCCTTTTCTCCCCAAAAACACCCCAAATGTGAATGATGCAAAGAATGATGTATCCACTGCTAACCACAAAGATATCAGATTAGATTAGGTTACGTTACGTTACAATGATTATATTCTATAAAATTGCCACCTCATTCTGTGTTCTGGCATTGCATCCATTTATTTGCTGCCTTACCACAAAAATGTAAGCTTTTAGGTTTAATAATATTTTTAATAATGTATTAAACAGCAGCTGTTATCCTTGAATTATTACTTTAGGCAATATCACAACACCAATAGCCCTGAACCAAGAAGGAACCTAAAAAATTGTGATGAGTAAGGGGAAACTGCATAGAAATAAGGGAAACTGCATAAAAACAATAGAATGGAATGGAATGGAGTGGAATGGAGTGGAATGGAAAGCTTTTAGTCAAAATTTAAATAGCTAAGTTACTAAAGAAGTAAATTTAATGTTGTTTTAAAAATTACATATCCTTTAAGAAGTCATTGAACCATGTATTTGGCCCCAAAAAATACATATGGGAATTAGTTGCCATAGAGACCTCAATAGATCCGTAGAAGCGTAGATACTTTGCTGCCATAAAATCATGACGAATTGCTAAGCGCATTATCTACCCTATAATTTTATCATATAAGTAAAAAATGATGGCCAGCGCACTGTCGCACGCAGACCATTCCAGGCTCCCGTAGCGACCTGGGCAACCTTTGGCATACGTGTACGGATAGATTTAGCAATCTGAGCAAAATTAGTGCTTAAGTTTCACCCCTAACCACAACTAACCGTAGAGCGCAGTTCCTGATGACAGCAAACAGGTGAGGGGCAAACCTTGAGTTCTAATTTTGGATTAATAAAATAGTGAAGAGACATGGAAATACAGGGGGAGAAATGAAAACTTAAAAAAAAATCCATTCAGTGCATAATTTCTCAAGGTAAACTACGAGATGATGGAGGTTGGACATCAACTACTCAAAGATCACCCTTGGCCAAAGCCGAACGAGCAGGAGCCGTTTGCCCAGCGCTGTCCTCTGCTTTGAGTGTCTCCAAGGACGGAGGATCCACCACCTTTGGGCTGGGGTTCACCAACATACCTTCACGTACTCCTGCACTACTTGCTCGGGGGTGTCTCCCAAGAAGACATAAAAATCAAGAATTCCACCAGTTGTCCTGTAAGTGACAGCCGGCGCCGGCTGCAGGGCGAACTCTACGAGCGAAAAACGCACCAAATCAATTTGGGACATTACCTAAATCTCAAATAACTGTGATGCCGATACAAAAGATAAAAACTGTTTAGGAGTAAGTATTAAATAATAATATCCACGGAAACCCAGAACCATTACTCGAGCTGGCAGCACAGGTGGGATGTTTTCAGCTCTTTTTTTTTTCTAAAAATGTCCATATTTACATTCCTTTAGAGTCCAGAAAGAGAAGAGAAATCCAATGGTACAACATCTTCTCATTACATTTTCGGTCTTAAGATGCTTGAATATTTGTTAAGCATCCAAATATGTACACACTTATCTAAGGGAAATTAAGGGCATATATTTACAAGTGCTGCTTAGTATAAATTTAGGCTCGGATTTTAATATCTTGTACTGAAACACCCCTGAACATGAATAAAAATGTACACGAGGTGTATGACACTGGTCTTGCAGTACAACCTTAACGCTGCTTGTATAGGCAACACGAGTAAATGCTTGAAAAAGTGGCTGCGGTCACAGATTTTAAGACAACTTTCTTCCAAATTTAGCATATGACTGTATTTTCTTAAGAATCTCCATCAGCTCAGCAGGGTCGCGGTGCAATAGCCCCGCAGATCATTTAATGTATATACTTGTCCTGGTTTCAGCCAGGATGGAGCTGGTTTTCTTCGCAGAGGCTGGTGCGGGACTGTGTTTTGGATTTGGGATGAGAAGCTGTTGATAGTGTGCTGATGTTTTGGGTTGCTGCTGAGCAGCCAAGGACAGTCCAGCTTCTTGTGCTGGCCTGCAGCGAGCAGGCTGGGGGTGCACGGGGAGCTGGGAGGGGACACAGCCGGGACAGCTGACCCAGACTGGCCAAAGGGATATTCCCTACCATCCGACGTCATGCCCAGTACATAAACTGGAGTTGGCCGGGGGGCGGAAATCGCTGCTCGGGGACGGGCTGTCGATCACGGGGTGGTGAGCAATTGCTGTATTGGGCATCACTTGTTCTTGTACATTCCTTTGTTGGTATTATCATTGTTGTTTCCTTCTTTTTTTCTGTCCTATTAAACCGTGTTTATCTCAACCCACGAGTTTTTTCCCAATTCTCTTCCCCGTCCCACTGCGGGAGGGGGAGTGAGCGAGCGGCTGCGTGGTGCTTAGTTGCCGGCTGGGGCTAAACCACGACAATACTTTTTGCAGTAGTTAGAGCTAAGGAGAAGGCATGCGTACCCATGGATTGCAGACCGTGTAAATAATACATGTAATTTTTTTTGCAATACTTATGGAGAAGAGCATCCTTACCCATCGCGTTGCTATTCATCAAGAAAACACCAAGAGAGGCTCCGGTGTTGTCTTCCAAACACAAGAAGAAAGTCTGAACGCCGTATAAGTTATCCATGTTCTTTAAGGAAAACAGAGAAGCTGATTTAAAAAAAAACAGTAACTGTATGCACCCTGCGGTACCTCAAAAATACGTCATATGTGAGGGTAAGCTTGTCAAAAGGAAACAAAGAGGGGAAAAAATCACCGACACGAACCTCATTATTTTCATTTCTCTCTTTCATGGTGATGTCTTTAAGTTGCTTAAAATCTGTCGAAAGCACAAATTTGGGGAAACCGACCCTGAGTGGAGCCATTTGGATAAGAACCACCTTCAAACCTCCACATACCCGGTAGTTAAAGGATGGAGATGATCAACTGCATCTCCAACAGGGACAGAAAGAAAATAAAGCAGACCTTTTCTACAGTAAGTTTTGTTGGCGGTAGGGCAAATTCCAGTTTCCGGTTCAAAAACCAAAATAGACGCGTCAGCCCATGGAAGCTTTTTTTATTTTTTCTTCTAAAACATTAATTAACTGCAAACACTGAGCCGCTCCCCGAATCCCATTCACGTCGCTCCTATTTCAGCAAAAGATTTCAGGACCTACTCCGATTTCAGCACAAGGATCGGTGCTGCGCTAAACGATCTCCGTTTAAGACTTGGTTAATGCCATTATTATCGCAAATAACAAAAAACTATTTTAAATTGTGTTTGAGATGCTGTAGTTATAAATTAGCTGGTTTAGAGAAACAGAATCAAGTGTAAAAACATTCTTATTATTCCATCTTCCAGAAGCCACGTTGCTTTTCTTGCTCCCTGGCATTCATTACACACAAAATGTAACGTTTTCTATTGGGGTTTTTGCAGCGTTACCTTGTCAAGCGCCTACATGCTCTACCAAATATTTCCTTTTTCTCATCAAGCCCAAAATCTATGACTAAGCACAGCAATAGCGTTTGGCTATTTCCCCCAAAGCACCCCCTCAAGAAATGTTGTGTGTGGGAATCCAAGCCAGAAAAAGCAATAAGGAAAAAACGAGTGTAAATACCAACGACTGATTTTAAATCGCAAATTTGGCAAGTCGATGCAGTGATAGAGCGATACAGCACCAAAAACTCGCGGATTCAGGATAAAACATCTCACTGCGGATGGAAGAATACGCTTTTCTACCTTCTGAAAACCACATGCCCTCAAAATCATCTCGGGAAAAAGGCAGAAAATGTCGAAGCAAAATAATTGCTAGCAGACACATTTTGGTTTATAAAGCAACAGCTGCTAAAGCTTGGCATTATTTCCTGAGATACAATGCCACGGAAGGAAAAACGTGTTATCTACCAAATTTCGCACACAGCAGTGCACGGGCAGGAAAAAACAGCAAAAAACAAAGCTTGTCAGATATTCATGTTCATCAGCTGATTTGCAGCAAAACGCAACCAATGCAACCCAAATATTTATGCCAACAGGAATCTTATTCAGTGGTATCTCACATTTTGCAACACATTGCAAGTCTTTAAGGAAAAAAACCTCAGTGGATATCGTTGATGTGCCACACACGGCTGGATTCCAGAATTTACCTGAAAAGAAGGAAAATCTAATAAAATAAGTGCTTACTGCCGAAGGGGCGGCGTCTCTGCTGAATATGGGCCAGGTTTTCCATCTGACGTCGTGTTGGTATTGCTTATGCACGTGCTCGCCCACCCCGTAGACGTTGCTGCTGGGGAGTTTGATGGAGAGCTGTAAAAACTGCTCGGCGTACAGCAGCGGGCCGATGGTGGTATCGAACCTGGCGAAAGCATGAAACGCTGCATAAAAATTTTTATGCTGAAGGTTGGATCCATCAGCATCGCTAAACCCCCCCAAAAAGCCCCAAGACGTCATTTAAGAGAACATTTGCAGCATGTGCCACTACTAACTTTGTCATATGCTTCTCACCATTTGGCCAAAACCTTGTCTTGCATATTGCGGTAAAAATGCTGGGTGTTTTTAATAATAATTTATTAATTGTGATTTTTTTTTCATTAAAACCATAAATCTCAACAATTTTGTTTCCAAATTAAATAAAAGCTTAAGGAAAATTTAAGCAAACTTCTAGAGCAGTGTTTCAAACAGGTGCCCACTTTTTTCTCCACATATTAAATGAAAGTCTAGGGAAAATTCAAGCAATCTCCAAGAGCAGTGTTTCAAACATCCCAACATTTTTTCTTCAACGTTAAATCAAAACCTAAGGAAAAATCAAGCAATCTTCTAGAGCAGTGTTTCAAACAGGTCTTTTTCTTTTTCCAAATTAAATGGAAGTCTAAGGAAAAAATAAGCAATCTTCTAGAGTGCTGTTTCAAACAGGTCCCATTAAATTAAATTATTCTCCCTTTCGTGTGCCAACTAAAGCAGTCCTGAGCACCCACTACGTCTTTCACGCGCTCGGTAATGGTAAATCAGTCTTTAGAGATTTCTCTAAAGATTAGAGATTTCTCTTTAAGAAACAAAACAAGACTAATAACAGGAAAAGAAAGTAAATCTTAATTAACTTAACTTGAAGCGTTGATCGCAATCGGGCTCCTGCTAGCGGTCAGCTTCCTAATCACTTGTAAATTGATGTAATGAACATTTACCCCAGGTTTCCGCCTTCCAGCGGGTCTCAGCGCAGGGCTGTTAGCCCAGCTCTGCTCTCGTTAGGTTTGGGTTTTTTTAGAAAACAAAGAGATTAAAATCCTTCAGTAGAGAAGCGCTTTGAATATTTACTGTGCAATTTAGCACCGGTTGGTACCACATAGTCTGCTATTACACGCCTGAAGCGCAACCTGATCTTGGGGGTGGAGAACTTCAGGAGGAACATCAGAAATAAGACAGGGAGGCTGCAGTAAAAGGTGGTGCTGGGCAGGACTTCCCATCACAACTGATGAACGCACGGCACGATCCATCAGTTCTCCCCTGGATCAAGGGGAGAGGAGGCCACAGGGCCAATGGGGCAAAACCTAAACCCTGTGAGATAGACCTCGCCACCTCCCAGATTTTGTGGGGAAAGGGCCTTTCCATCCCGCTTATCCATCAAAAGAAGAGAAGCAGCAGTCCGCGTGCCCACGGGGCGTCTCCAAAAGCAATGGAGACTTTCAGGGAAGACAGATGGCATCATGATTTTATGGATTAAGAGCTTTATCCGTCTTTATGGACAAAGATGATGGAAAAAATTTACTCACAAAACTTTTCCGTTGCTTGCTCTGGTCACCTTGATGCCAAAGGGATTTTGCTGGACATCAACTTTATATTTTAAGTTGGAAGCTGCCGGACCACTGAAAGGTCCCACGTTCTCATGGGGGACTTCAAATCTTTGCTTTTTAGGATCAGTGAGCTACACATGTTTAAAGAACAAAATAAGTAATTTAGAAATTAACACCTCATTTTAACACTCTCCAGCTTGACCATCCAAATTTGACTTGGTAAAAAAAAACACCCGTTGTCAAAACAGCATCATGATGAGAAAGTGGTCAACGTCAATAAATGGCAAAATTAAGACTCTGCAAACCAACTCAGCCTCTTTATTTGGGTAGATACAAGAGTATTTCCCATTGTTGCTTGGCCTGAGGGCATTTTTCCCATGGGAAATAGGCAGGAAGGCAGAATTCTGCACGACCGTGTTTGTAGGCATTGCCCAGCCCTTCTTCAGCATCGCATTTTCAGTCTTTCTACATGTCTTACCTGGGTTGGGTGGAGCAAAACCCAGCCTGACTTCCAGATTTTTGGCAGGAAAACATGTGGCATCCTCCAGCCCCAAGAAAATTAAAAAAGAAAAGGAAAAGAAAAAAGAAAAAAGAGAAAAAAGGAAAAAAAATAAAAAAGAGAAAAAGGAAAAAAGGAAAAGTTAAAAAAGAAAAAGTGAAAAAGAAAAAAGGAAAAATGAAAAAGGAAAAAGCGAAAGAAAGAAAAAAGAAAAAAGAAAAGAAGAAAAAAGAGAAAAGTAAAAAAAAAACCAAAACCCCACAAAACAAACAAAAAAAAGAGAAGTCCTGTCCAGCCCCAAAAATCCACAGATTTTGGCATATTTTCTCCACACTAAGTGCTGAACTTTTTATAAAATGCCAAGCGCTTCAGAATTGCTAAAGCTTTCTGCCAAAATAATCGTGAGATAAATGTAAATTAATATATTCTGCCCAAAACTATTTCCCCATGAAAAGAGGGGTAAAAAAAAATGGAAGTAAAATAAAATCCGATCTTTTTAAAGGTATCTGCAATTTTTCACGCCCGAATCCTGTTGTGTTAAGCCGTTGTTCCTCCGGGTGCAAAAAAAGCCCCTCCTGGCCAAAATCCTCCCTTGGAAGAACGAGGGTGGATGTGGGTGGGAGTCACGGAAAGGGAATAAACCCGTCAGAGCCCCGCAGCCCCTCCCCCGAGCTCGGCCGGGCCAGACCCCCCGGCAGCGAGCGGAAAACTCACCGCGAAGCGAAAGCGACTGCGCGTCTGGTACGCGGCCGCGAGCAGGACGGGGTCGATGTCGCTCCCGAAAAGCGACGGTGAGGGGAGACGCGTCAGCACGGCTTGGAA